TATTATTCAAACACTAGACCTTAGTTCTCATTTTCTCTCATATTAGTCGATAAGTATATTATCTAATCAGATAATTCGTGTATAGAAAATAATGCAGAGTTGATACGTTAAGGACTGCCTCCTGGTCAAGCCTATCATGCACCACCGAGTGTGACGGCTCCAGCTACGATCGGTGCTGCCGTTGGTGCAGTTGCTCCAAGTGCTGGTGTGTCAATCAAGGATATTAGTGATCACCTCAAAGTTCAATTGCTCATCCGAAGTTATCAGGTTTCTTACTTACTTGTTTCATTTCTCATCAGAGTGGATTGAATTGATTGAAATTTACATGAACATCGTGAACATATTTATATTCAAGAAAAATGCACGTTTCAGACTCGCGGTCATAATATTGCCGAACTTGATCCTCTGGGCATAAATAGCGCTGATTTGGATGATACAATACCAGCTGAACTGGAACCGCAATTCTATGGACTTACCGACCAAGATATGGATCGGCAATTCATTCTACCGATGTCAACGTTTATTGGTGGTGATAGACCATCACTAACACTTAGAGAAATTATCAATCGTCTTAAGGTTCGATTGATCGAATAAATACTAAACGATTTTCACGATCCATTGAAGCTCACATAGTGCTTCTCCTTGAGAGTTGTCTGAATGAATTTCGATTATTACAAAGCGCAGCTCACTGAGTTAATCGTGTGAAATATGACTGAACTGGAATTGAAAGCTGTGAGAGTGGTAATGCAAAAATTGTTTGAAGGCTAAAAAATGACTGTAATTTCAGAACATTTATTGTACGCATACCGGTGTTGAGTATATGCATTTAACGAACTATGAACAATTGGATTGGGTTAGGCGTAAATTTGAAGTACCCCGAGCATCTGAACTGAATCATGAACAGAAGAAAACGTTGCTGAAACGATTGATTCGATCGACGAAATTCGAAGAATTCCTCGCTAAAAAGGTTCGTCTTTGTTGTATTCGACTAAATTTTAGCATTCAATCATCTTTGTCATTTTACACTTTGCGACGTTAAATCTCCTCATTTTCATACTAGTTACTGTTTCGAAGTTTCTTCTCGAATTGATCTATCTCGATGTCGATTTGATGTGAATTTATCGCATTGTTTTGATTTCATAATCAATCAACTCTTAATAAATATAGACATTCACGAAATATACCTTGAAGATTAATATCTGAAATGAAAGTGTTTCAGTGGCCAAGTGAGAAACGATTCGGTTTGGATGGATGTGAGGTGCTGATCCCAGCAGTGAAACAACTTATCGATCATGCGAGTAGTTCTGGCATCGACTCTTTCGTCATTGGAATGCCACATAGGTGAATGATTGAAAATTCATTTCGATGCCTTCCCCTAATCACATTGGCACTTATCGTTGATCTTTTATCCAGCGTTAATCTTTATTTACTTCAGTAATGATCAGATTTTATGTCACATTTATCTTAATTTCTAAGAGAGTATGGTACTTTCCATACATTTAGAGTAATTTAAAAAAAAAGTGTAATTGTGATTTTCTCAAG